AAGACGTGATCTTGGAGGCTGCGGACGTCAGGGTTGTGCAGAAAGATAAGAATCTGACCATGGACAAAACATGGCTTTAGCCATCAAAAGATCTATGGGAAAGCAGCTTCAGCTGACCTGCAAATTTACCGCTGGCCTTTCCAGAGTTCAAGGGGATATGTACTGAAACCCTGATATCACCTTCCGGTTTCAATGTGTTCCAACAAAATGACAGTGAGACCCAAGGATACAGCCAGACAGCCTTTCCCAACCAGCTGATGCACTGTGGAAAGGTCTGCAATGTTTCCCTGAAAAACCGATGCTCGGATTCACAATGTACCAGGAAATCCAATAGAAGGGGTATGATCCCATTTGGGAACGTAATGGATCCTGAATGTAAACTAATGTTATTTAAATTTATATTAATCATTTCCAATGAATGGAGACCCTGGTGTCTCACACTTCACCCTAAGATGCGGAACTGAAGTCAGCACCACGGGACTCCGCAAGTGTCAGGCTGCGTGATGACTGGAGAAGCATGGGTCAGTTCATGGCTTCAAACTGAGCAATACCCACAGTTCATGGTGGTGGATGGTGTTAGATGATGAACATTCAGTTTTAGCGAAAGCCTATGTTTATAGATTTTTATAGTATATGTTCATATATACTATATGATACCATGTCCTTACTGGCTGTTTGAACCCTGATGAGTCAGATTTGTAACTGGGGCTCAATTGATGGTCATAGTACCTGGTGGTCCGCCATGCTCCAGGCATGTCATAAATCCAACAAAAACCAATGGTGTATACTTCCGAATGACAATTTGTTTTGGGGAAGGGGGGGAAATTATCCTTCTCCAGTGGATTTAGAGCTATTTTCAGAGCCATGTTGAAGGTTTGCAAGAGCCACAAGACTGCAACCTCTATGGCTGCATCATTACTGTATTTTTTATTACCACATCTTTCTGATTGCATGAAATGATTGGCTTTACCACGTCATGGTGAATTCTCCGCGAAATATGTGCTGGACCACGGGGACAAACGGTTTCGCGATCGATTTTCATTGTCTCACCTGGGGTGGAGAAGCTTCAGCACTGTGAGCTGGTGTACTATTATCCTTCCAAGCAGCCATGCAAAATGATGCGTTTGTTAATGTTTGATAATGGTTGTTCGCTCCAGTCAGCAGCTTTCAAACGCTTTTGGCTTGTGAAAATAGGGGTGATGGATTGAGATTCATAAGAGTCAAAACCAGCAAGAAGTGTAGATTCGTTGGGTTGTATAATGTGGTATACATTGGTAAATATTGCACATGGGAAGTGTCCAAGTATTTTATGTTGCCTTCCAGTAGAATTAACATATATAGATATTGGAAAAAGGACCAGACATGTTGAACATGTTCCTAGGGAAACCTTAGATGTGCTTATTGTTCTTTCTTGAACTACCGCACTGTAAATCACTACCATTCCAGGAGGGGTATTGAACATTATTCTGGAATGATGATTAGTGGAGGTAACTATCCAAAAATAAACCAAACATAATCCTACTTCAGATGGGTAAATTACATTAAATTACATTAAACTATTATTTCCCCAGATTCTCGGGAAGTGATTTTCAATCTTTGAGAAAAGTTGGCGCTGCAACCTTCACCTCGGACTGGTGCTGCTTCCCTTCGGTGGACGCAAACGGTCTCGGTCAGTGGTCAATGCGAATGAAACGGTCATGGATTGGGCTGAGAGTTTGGAAGGAATTTTCACGCGCATTTTTCTGTCTTAGGATTTCACCCCCCAGGCAAAGAATTGCCAAAATCATCCAAAAGTTGATTCGATTTGCCACATTACAAATGGTCATGGTGTGGTATCCGCAGATTCTCCTTTCCATTTCATGGTGAAACTGCCAGCACTCCCGAGGAGCTCCTTTTTCGTTGTGGAATGCTCAAGGTGATAGTTCCGGGCCGTTTGAAAGCCCATTTCATCCGTCCATCCCATTTCCATCCTTTAAAGTTTTCGTCAAACAGAAATCATCCGAACACACCATCAAAAAAGCTGAGCAGAATCATCGGTCCCATCGGTGAGTGAATTTTGACTATGAAGCACTTGTTCTTCGCCAGCGCTGCGAGAAAAGACGCGACCCGTTCCCGTTCCCGTTGGCTGCTCTGGGGTTGCCACGCGTCGCGGTGCCATGCCCGCACCGCCCGCTGTTGTCAACGGCATGGTGGCAAAACAATATGCGGTGCCCATGCAGTACCAGGCCGGCCAGATGACTGGATCAATGGTTCAAAAATGTTCGATACCCATCTGAGATATCTATAGATATCTGAAATATAGTCGTTCATATGATTTCATTTCAAGTGGGGATGAAAATCCATGAGAGTCATTGAGAGCTACACTTTCGTGGGGTTTTGGTCGGCTAGGTTAACCAATGGACAAGCCAAGCTTTGAACACAAACTTAACCGCCAAAATGTCAAGTGTAATGGGGAAAATGAATGAAAATGATGATTACCCTCTGGTAAACTAACAGTTTGCTATTGAAAATTGCCATTTATAGTGGACTTACCCATGAAAAATGGTGATTTTCCATAGTTTTTTGTTGACGTTTACCAGAGGGTAACCTTTGGATCTGGAGCTACTGGTCGTACACAGTTTTTTCAAAGAACCCCATTAAAAAAAAAAAAGGTCAGACTTGAGAGGTTTCTGTTATGTTCTTCGTGATATTTGGTGATATTCCCCTGAATTTACAAGTGATCCAATGTGTTAGATCTGATTCATATCGTCGTTCATTGATATCAATTCATTGATCCATATTGATCCCTCGATTTTGCGACACCCCTTGTGTATAAATATATAGTAAACCTGAAGAAGAAAGAACATTTATTTTCCACGATTTTAGTGGAATTTGACTGTTCTATCTTTCTGGGGATTGCTAAATATGATATAATGTTGTATGATATTATAATATATTATATCATGTATTGTATATTTTATATATATTCTTTTATATATTATATATTCTTTTATATATTATATTATATCATGTATTATATATTATTTATTGTTTATGATATATGATATATTTTATATTATATATCATAAATTATATATTATTTATTATATATTATTTATTATATATTTTTTATATATTATATATATGTTATATATTATCGAAGGAAGTTTAGAAGTCAAACTTCCGACAATATGGAGAGATGAAAAGCAGAGCAGGGAAGAGGCATAGAGAAGAGAAAGATTAGAAGAGAAAGAGTAAGAAGACAGAAGATTCAGATGCGCGAAAAGGTAGGAAAGTCGCGAAACACTGTGTTTTTCCAATGATTTGTGGCTCCGGAGGGTCGAAAAGTAGGCTTGCTAAAGCGGCGGGTGCGGAGCCATCTGGCCAGATGAGAGATGAAAAAGTGCACGCCGTTGTGGCGCGAAGCACATAAGTGAAAAAGCTAAAAATACCTCACGTTCGGAGAGCTTTTGGAAGTTGAGATGTCGAAAAAGTGAACGCCGTTGTGGCGCGAAGCACATTTCGAAGTCAAAATGTACACAACACACCATTCTCGGACCACTTTTGGAAGTTGAGATGTCGAAAAAGTGCACGCCGTTGTGGCGCGAAGCACATTTCCAAGTCAAAATGTACAAAGCACCTCAGCTTCGGACCACTTTTGGAAGTTGAGATGTCGAAAAAGTGCACGCCGTTGTGGCGCGAAGCACATTTCCAAGTCAAAAGTGTTAAAAACTGGCGGTCTCGGACCACTTTTGGAAGTTGAGATGTCGAAAAAGTGTCGAAAAAGTGCACGTCGTTGTGGCGCGAAGCACATTTCGAAGTCAAAAGTGTAAAACAACTGAGTGTTTTGAGCCTTTTTTGACGTGCTGATGTCGAAAAAGTAGACACTGATTAACTTAAGTAACTTCACTGAACAACTTCACTAACTAACTTGACTAACTTAAGTAACTTCACTAACACGAATACCCTAACTTCGACGACAACAGCAACAACAACAACAACAACAACTACTACTACTACAACTACAACTACAACTACAACTACAATAGATCGATAGATGGAGAGATAGATAGATAGATAGATAGATAGATAGATAGATAGATAGATAGATAGATAGATAGATACATCGATAGATGCAAAGATCGATACATGGAGAGCTAGATAGATACATAGAGAGATAGATAGATAGACGGAGAGATAGATAGAGAGAGATAGATAGATAGGTCGATAGATAGATAGATCGATAGATAGATAGACAGATAGATAGACACATAGATAGGTCGATAGATAGATAGACACATAGATAGATACATAGATAGACGGGCAGACAGACCGATAGATAAATAGATAAATCGATAGACGGACAGATAGATAAATAGTTAGAGGGACAGCTAGAGACATAGATGGCGAGACAGACAGATAGATACATGGACACATAGACAGATAGTTAGACACCAAGACAAATAGAGAAATAGATGGGTAGAGACATAGACAGATAGATAGACAGATAGACAGATAGACAGACTAGATACCCAACATATCCAAACCCAAAGTTTTTGTAGGGTTTGCTCAAATACCCAGGGTTTACACACAAAATCGGAGGCTTTCCAAAACCTGATAAGTTATGATCGAAGGAAGTTTAGAAGTAAAACTTCCGACAATATGGACAGATGAAAAGCAGAGTAGGGGAGAGGCAGAGAGAAGAGGAAGATTAGAAGAGAGAAGATGAGAAGAGAAAGAGTCAGAAGAAAGAAGATACAGATGCGCGAAAAGGTAGGAAAGTCGCAAAACACTGTGTTTTTCCAATGATTTGTGGCTCAGGAGGGTCGAAAAGTAGGCTCGCTAAAGCGGCGGGTGCGGAGCCAGCTGGTCACAGGAGCGATGAAAAATTGCACGCCGTTGTGGCGCGAAGCAAATTTCCAAGTCAAAAGGTACAAAACACCTCAGCGTCGGACGACTTTTGGAAGTTGCGATGTCGAAAAAGTGCACGCCGTTGTGGCGCGAAGCACATTTCCAAGTCA